TGTGTGTGTGTTTGTGTGTGTGTGTGTGTGTGTGTGTGTGTGTGTGTGTGTGTGTGTCTGTCTATCTATAGAACTCTCTCTCTCTCTCTAAGTTACCCTTAGTGACTGGGGTATATACCGTATTAGGTAAATATTGAGCAATATAATGCCTGAAGTGTTACATTTATATCTAGTGTAACGTTCCTCCCGAGTGTTAACTGATAAGTGACAACTCTGTATTTCGTCCCAGAGCAACAAAAGAAGAAATGACAGAAACATACCAAGATTGGGTGGAGAAATCTGACATTGAAAATTATTCTGAATATCGTGTCTCCCTCGCTAATGTATATGATGGTTACATCCAGAATAATACTACTGTGCTAATGTTATGTGAGTATGATAATCATTCACTACCATGGTACACAGTGGAGTCCAAAAGTCTGGGGTCACTATTGAAAATGCATGTATTTTACATTCTTTTCTAACTTAATACTAACATTTTCATTACGAATTATTTATGGCATGATGATCATGATTTCAGTTGTTCCAGAGAGCATCTTGAGCTTCAGTGGAAGCAGGAAAATCTGTTTGCGTAACAGGAGTGACATGATCAATGTCACTAGTTTGCTTACTTGTTTAGTAACCAAGAAATACAGCACAATCATTCAGTTTACATCAAAACTAGATTCTTTGTATTACACTGTCTCATCAATCAATAATTTGACCTTCTGATAAAATCATTTATAAATCCTTACACCGTGGAGCTTTTCATAAGTTCGGAGCTTGTTCACACATGCAGTGCTTTATTGGACAGTCTTACAAAAGAACTGGCACTCTTTATTTCCATAATGATTAGTTCAGATGTAGCAGTCATAACTCTGGATGACGTTCTCCTTACTTTTTCACACTTCTACCTTTCAAATGGTCTCTATGCTGGTATATCTTTGACTTGAACTGTTTGTTGTGAAGATTCTGCTTTATATTTCCCCACTAACTATTATGAGGCAGCACATAATAACACCTGTAATGTTACACCGGTGAATTGAACCATGCAAGCATTATCTGATGCACTCAGCTGTATCCTCTGAAGCATAAATCATCACCGTAACAATGGCGACCTTTAGGAGTGTCTCCTTCAATGCACGATTACAGCTGAGGTGAACAATGCCTTCTACGTACTGCAGCTCAAACAGTATATGCTCCAGTTCGTCTGTGTGGTCTGTCCAGATGACTCCGCACAGAGTGAAGAACATTTGTAAATCAGTCTCACTCGGTTCACTTTAGCGTGAGTCAGATTTACATCCGGGAAGTGTCCATTAACAGCTGCCAGGATTGGTGTGTTGGGATCTGTTCAGTTAAAGCAATAGCTCACGTGAAAATGGCGATTCTGTCATCATTTGCATCCAAATATGACCAAAAAGAACAATAATAGCACTGTAAATATAGCCGTGTGACTTATGCACAATATTGCAAGTGTTCGCAAAAATCCTTATGATAGGTTTAACTATGGCAAATGGTTAGATTTTCAGTCTGTTCCTCACACAAAGCGAACAAAATGCTTCAAAAGACTTGTGTTTGAATTGTGTGAACTGCTTTTATACAGAGTGCAACAGTGTCTGTGCACTTTTCAGCGACCTTGGTTCTGGAAGTATTTTTGCCATCCTTTTCAACAGGGATTTAAAAAAAGTCTTTGTTAAAGAGTTATAAGCACTAAACTAACCAGCTACAAGGTGAATCACAACATTGCAAACTTTGACTTGAAGCAGAAAACTTGAAAATCTGACAAAGGTACAAGACTATGGCTTTAATGAAGGAAAGAACTACAATGCAGCACGCAAATTACATATATTAAAAATGGTAGAGAATTATATAAAACTATTGATTTAAAGGGATAGTTCATCCAAAAATGAGAATTCTCTCATCATGTATTCACCCTCAAGTTGTTCCAAACCTGTACGAGTTTTTTCTTCTGTAGAACACAAAAGAAGATATTTTGAAGAATGTTGTAAGAATGCAAGCCGCTGACGGTAGCCATTGACTTCCATAGTATGGAAACAAAAATATGGAAGTCAATGGCTACCATTAACTGTTCATTTTTGGGTGAACTATCCCATTAAAGATGCTGTATTATATATAGAAACAAGATATTTTATGTTTATTGCAAAATGTGCATATATATGAAAATATTTAAGTAGTGAGAGACTAATATTTCTGGAACTAATGATTTATTTTTCATTGTGGCACTCTGATTGGTGCAGAATTTTGTTTTTTAATAATTCCACATGAATATTTAAAAAAATAAGTTGGACAGCGTTTTTCCTGGCTCGAAATGAGGCGGAGTTGGTACCGTCCTGATCATATGCACACATTGTACCCACCCTTCAACTGGCTTTTAGTTTTTTTAGGTGTTCTAATAATTAGATGATTGAAGAAAATGACAATTATAACGTTTATAAAAAGCTAATACATTTTACAAAAACAAACCTGTTTAACAATACATTAAAATACAACATGACAGCTAAAAGGGACCCTTTGATACTAAGCTAATTGTTACACCTGATTAATATTCCTCAAGTAAACATTCTTTATCGTTATGAAAATACCCCACATTTCATGAAAATCACATACAAACCATATACTATAGTAATCGCGCGTATATTAGCTTCATGTAGAAATGTTTCTCTGGGTTTGTTGTGGACGGAACAGAATGAAGAAGTTTAATGGAACCTTGTCTTCGGAAGAGACCGGATGGGTTATGAACGCATAATATGAGTGACATATCAACAGCGGCACAAAATTAAACTGAGGTGGCCGCCTCATAATTCTCTATTGCAGGAAAAAAAAAACCTGTTGAAATAATGCAGACTGACGGCTTCAACAAAAGCATATACCATCGATTAACAACCTTGTAGCTCACAGAAGGTATGTCTTTAATGGTAAGTTATTGTTAAAATTTAATTCCCATGCAGAGAAAATGTATGTGATTTATTTATTTAAAAATTTTTTTGCTTCCAGAACCATACTGCTGCAGTTTTGGCCTTTATTTTTATTTTTTTATTTATTTTTGTATTTCTTTTATTTGAATGAATAGCAACAAAATTAAAATTTTTGGCTGAACTTTTACCTTAAAACAAATGTAAACAAGGCAAATGTCCATATGGAGAGCAGAGATTGACCGTGTGAATGATATTTCCTCGCAGTGTGGGTGTGGCCTACAGGTAAAGCCCACCTGTGCCTTTCAGTGGGAAGACAAACTCAAACAAAGTGGGCCGAAGCAATGAATCCCATGCTTGTGTTTGTCTGTGCGTTCTTGCAGTGCTGTTTGCATCTGTAAATGTGCTGCGACGGTGCGTGTCCAGGCTTGCTGTAGAATCAGGTCTGT